TCGTGTTCTTGTCCAGCCTTGTGCCAATCTTTGTAATTGCTCTTGCAGCTACAGCGTTTGCAAACGGTTTATGGATGAGCGTCAATGGTTTCATGGTAGCTCCCGAAACCTTGAACGTCTTCTGGCGATACGTCTTCCACTACATTGATTATCAAGCCTACGTCTTCCGAGGCATGATGGTCAATGAGTTTGGCTATAGAACGTATGAGTGTGACAGCAAGTGCCACTGCATGTATGTCACAGATCTTGCAGACCAGTGTAAGATTGATGGCAAAGGCGTTTTGGCCACATATAACTTCGACACGCAGAATACTGGCAAATATGTCGGTTATATGTTGCTAATAACCCTGGGATATAGACTTTTCGGTTGGTTGGTTATGTATCTTCGCCGCCACTAATCCGGTCGTCTGAGGTTGGATTGACGGGTTCAATGTGCCCAACAGTCAGCCTAGCTGCGAGCTTGAGCCTCACAGCTGACTGACCGCGTCAATTGGATCCAGTGATGTCAGCGGTTAGGTTAGGTTACAAAAATGAGGCCAAAACCGATCCAAAATTCGGATTTAGGCTACTAACCGGTTATGTAACCGGTTAAACCAGATCAACCGGATAAAATATATAGATTTTGGAGTAATATAGTGTATAAAGCGGTAAAGGTGCTTAAGGAAGGTACGGAGGAGTTGTATAAAGTAATNAAATAGTATATAGAGNTCCTATAAAGCTTGCAGGACGTCAGCAGTGATATTAGCGATCAATNNGCAAATTAGAACGTCGTACTTACTATCGCGAGTCTTGGCATGGTGTTNAACGACNATTAGTNNTNAATTATAAAACAATGAGGGCAGTATATGGGCAGTAATAAGGGTAACGCGATGAGGGCAGTAATAAGGGTAGTAATAATAAAGGCGACGCGTTATGGGCGACGTGATATAGGCGACGCGATGGGGATAACGCGGTTAGGAATAACCACCGTAACTTTATTAACTCCATTAAATTAACTACATCNAATGGATCTGGTNATCTANAAAGCCTNNAACGGATTAACTAGGGCGTTGCTACACGGCAATTTTAAGCCAATAGACGAGGCTTGGCTCCCTTAGGTGACGTTCGCCCTTACCCAAATCCTTACCACTAAGGCCTTACTGGTTCCTGGTTACCTGGTTATCGCTAAAACTTCAGAACCGATCCAGATTAAGCCAATAAAATCGTCTAACCGGTTAGGCTTTGAATTTTGGTTTAACCGAACCGATCCAATGAAGTAACCTAACCAGTGACATCACTGATTGGATCGCTCGCTGTCCGCTGACTGTTGGATAACTTACGCGGGCTGTCACGCTGTCAGCTAGCTGTCCCAATTAGGAAAGTTGTATAGACTTTGTGGTATTTTATTGCAGATTTTTGGCAGTAACTCTTTATATATAAATATTAATATTACCTAATTAAAAATTAGCCCTAATTTATCTAATATAGTATTTAAATATAGTTAAATTCGTCCTATGTACCCGTAGAGACTTAAAAAGGTAGGTAGAATAGTTAGTAATAAGGGCTCTAGAGGCTCTATTTCTATATTAGATTTAATTAAAATATAAAGCTCTATTAAATATACCTTACTAAGCCAGCTTTTCTACTTTTCTAGTTAGCTTATAGCTAACAAAATTAAGATTTAAGTTCGTTAACTAATGTATAGTTAAAGCTCTATTAAAGTTAATATAGTTAATTAAACTACTTAATAAATGGCCTTTAATTAACTACTACCTCTAATACTAATCTGCTTTAATTATATTAGCTAATAGTCTATAACGCTTATCGGTAATAATCTTTTTAACTTAACTAAGTCTTATTTATATATAGAGCTTATCGCCGGTATAGAGAATATATTAAAAGTAATCTTAGTAAGTGTTAGATTATAAATCTAATAGGAAAGAAGTAGAGGAAGAAGCTCTACTACCTAGCTAATGCGTAAAATATAATATATGTTGCATTTTATATAGGTAATAAAATGGTAAATTTTAGTATAGGAGAATGGGTTTACGGTGCATAATAGAGATATTGGAGAGAATGTTTTATTTATCGTAGCTAAGTAAGAGATTCCTATAGGTTTCTTAACTTCTACCAAAAGTTTTAGCTTATTACTAAATCTTACCACTAAGGCAGCGTGCTGTTAGTTAGCTGCAGTCTTATAGCTGATTGCCACAACTCTATAAGCTCGCTGACTGCTTACCTAGGTACGTTATCAGCCTCTTGGCAGCGACGCTGTCAGCGACGCTGACTCTCGGACACGCCGGACGGGTCGCCTCCTATACTACATATAAGCCCACCGGTTGGTGTTCGGTTCCAAGCCTTTAAACGTATTTTTTTGCTTAATCATCTTTATGATGGTGGTTTTGTCTTTCCAACAGTGTGGCGGAACAAATTCGGTGCACACAAACTCAATTGAAGTGGTGAGGGGCTCTCAAATGCCTGATTAAGATTGCGAATTGTATTTACGAGGCTTGCGGAGTGCTTTTTGGTGTTGGATTGAAAACGGCGCTTAGTCTGAGTTCCTTGTAGCATTAACTCGCCTCTATATTTCTTTTTATGGGAGAACCCTCAAGACTCTTAAGCTTTCGTCCCCTGCATCGATCATTTCGGCTGACGTTTTATTCCTACAATTGGGACTGTTATTTTCGGGATCCCTAGAATGGCAATTAAGCGACCTCGGCCCCTCGAATGTGATCACCACCACTCCGCACTTGTCTCCGCTATGATTAATTAATTACTCTTTATTTCTCGACGAAGTTGCTACTCCCCTCTCCAAGCCATCGCACTTCTTTGCTGATCCCACTTGGCCTCTAGCACCGGTAGCAACGCAAGATGCCTACAGCAATTCGCGTCTCCCCCACTCACGCAGCACGCGCCATCAATCTCCTCCGCACCGTCCAGTATACACACCCGCCGTCTTGCCCGTGCCACTCTAACCCGGGCCACCACCACCATGAGTATACACACCCGCCGTCTTGCCCGTGCCACTCTAACCCGGGCCACCACCACCATGCAACACCTTCCTTAGTAAATCAAGCTCGGCGGTCTCTCGCTACACCAATTGATGCTTCTCAGCAGAAGGAATATGCCTTTGAAATGGCAGCATCAAGTATAAGGTTCGGTCCGGGATGTACAAAAGAGGTGGGAATGGATTTCAAAAACATGGGAGCGAAGAAGGTCATGGTGGTTACAGATAGCACTGTGAAGAAGCTGAATGCTATGAAGCAGGTAGTGCAGGCCTTGGAAGCTGAGGGAATTGCGTTTGAGGTATTCGACGGCGTGCGGGTGGAACCGAAGGACAGCTCGTGAGTGGGTTTCTTACAGTAGGGCACTGTAATTATATTATTTTAGGAGAAGAGAAAGTGACATTTATGTTCCAAGGAAATTATGCTGATAGGATTGTAGAATTAAAACTGCAATTGCCGCCGCGAAACCATACCAGCCTGATGCCCTTTTAGCCGTTGGCGGAGGGTCAGTAATAGACACCGCAAAGTTAATGAATCTTTATACTACACTCCCTGGTCCGTATCTCATATATTTCTACTAGCTATGTCTCTGACTAACGTAACTCTCAAGACGCCGAATTCCTCGACTTTGTAAATGCACCCCTAGGTAAAGGTAAACCAATTACTAAAGGCCTCAAGCCTCTCATTGCCGTCCCTACGACCGCAGGTACTGGCTCGGAAACTACGGGCACAGCGATCTTTGATCTTGTTTCAAAGCGTGCTAAAACTGGTATTGCACACCGTAATCTTAAGCCCACATTAGGGATATGCGATCCCCTAAATACACGTACAATGCCATCGGCTGTGCACGCTTCCTCAGGCCTAGATGTGCTGTGTCATTCTCTAGAATCTTGGACAGCCATCCCATACTATGAGCGGGTCCCAAGACCAACAAATCCGATCAATCGGCCGGCGTACCAAGGCGCGAACCCAATATCTGACATATTCTCTCTCCAAGCTCTACGAAGCACTATCAAATACCTTCCGCGCGCAGTGAAGGACCCTGAGGACCACGAAGCGCAGAGTCAGATGCTTTTGGCAGCGACTCTGGCCGGCATAGGTTTTGGTAATGCAGGCGTCCATCTATGCCATGGGATGAGCTATCCAATATCAGGTCAAAACCCTGGGTACAAACACCCGGGATACCAGGTGGACAGCCCGATTATCCCGCATGGCGTGAGCGTTGCCGTTACTGCGCCGGCTGTGTTCAAATTCACAGGTGCTTCGAATCCAGAGAGGCATCTCGCAGCTGCGGAGTGCTTCGGCGTTGATGTAAGCCAGGTGAAGAAGGAAAGTGCGGGCGAGGTGTTAAGCGAAGCTCTTGCAGACTTCCTAGTGAAATTAGGTGACCAGCCTCGGGGGTTGAAGGCACTAGGATTTGGTAAAGAGCATGTNGATGCACTGGTGGAGGGCACGATCCCGCAGGCTAGGGTTCTGATGCTAGCACCGAACTTAGAGATGACGAATTTGGATGCAGAGAGGGAGCAGCTTACGGGATTGTTTGAGGAAGCAATGGAGTATTAGTTACGCGATATTACCAAAATTCTTATAATGGTCTGGAACAAAACGGGTCCTCAAGACACATTCGCGACGCCTGACGTATTACGGGCAAATGTGCAACTATCCAGGATGGCGGAATATGTAATGTCGCCTGAACGGTTCAATGTATATACTTTAAAGGAATGTGAAGAACAAATCATCTTGATGTGACATTACCTCCTGAAAACCTCTTCTTGTGCATAAAACCGCTGTCTAAACTTACATTACAAGACACATTTCCCCTAGGAAGCTGTCTAGCTGTTTCGACTATGGTGATAAGGTGTCTTACTCAAAGATAGTGGTGCTCCCGGATGTCCTCGGCAACAGACTTGGAGCTGACTCAAGCTTATATACTCCTTTTTTTAACGTATCTTCTAGTTTAACCATCAGAATCGCGGTTGAGTCTTCGCTTGGCTCTCCAAATACGAGTTCTGAATATCTTCGATGGTCTAGTGGTCATGATTTCCGCTTGTCAAGATACATCTCAACAAGCGCGGGAGGTAAGCCACTTAACTAAACGTTAATTAACAATAAAACTAACCTCTATCAAGACCGGGGTTCGATTCCCCGTCGGAGAGCTTCTTTTTTTGGCATTTTAGAGGATGCCGGAGGTGGTGTCGTGGGAGAGAGATGAAGGCTGGCCTGTAGAAATTTTTGATGGGTGGTTGCGCCGCAGCTAGCAGGGTGATTTGCGGCTGGACTGTGGCTGTGTGGGCTGGACAAAGCCACTGACATCAACGAACTTTTGAAGTCCCAGACGATCTGATGTCTATCTTTTCCAAGGGTCCAAGGGTCCCCACGAGAGGGGTTCAGTAACTTCATAAACCCTGCCTGATACATACGCTTCTATTATTCTTCACCCTTTACCCCTAATTGATTAATTGGCTGATTGATTTCACATTCATACTCTGCCAGCTTCCTGCTCAAAACCAACTCGTGACATTTTAACCCCACGCAATCACCCCTCCTAATTTCTGGGCGCCTCTCGCAACCCTCCAACCTACATATTCCAGTCCTACGTCAAACTTAAAACCCTCTGCTTTGCTATATCGCGGTCATGGCGACTCCTACTTCAGCAAACCTCCCCACGAGGACCTTGACTCAAGGTAGCGATGACGATGCCATTCCTGGCGAGGATACCAGCGAGGTAGGTTTTACAGCCTCCAAGAAAACAAATCACATATGAAGGCCGAGCTGACAGCGAATAGGTTACCAAGCTATTCCAAGAGCGCCTTCAAGCTTGGAAGCATGCCATTGCATATCTCGAAGACTACATCACCGCAACGGAGAAGCTGCAGCATGCGCATGGCAAAGAATACGAGAAAGTGCTCAAGGTCCGTAGGAGATACCGTTACAGTCGGAAATCTCTGGCGCGTGCTAATTGAGACCATATAGACGGTGTCACATCCTTTGAGGGAAGGACATCACTTTGATCAGTCTCTTGGTGGTATTGCGGGCATGTTCGAGAACATCAGGTCCAACACGCAGGTAAAGAATTTCGTGCGTCCACTTTTGGTGTATGTGTGCTGATCACTTCTTCCAGGGTATCTCCAATTCGCATTACGATACCGCAAAAGCAATCAAAGGCTCTATCCTCCCCGTATTCGAGCGACTCCACTCCGAGATCAAGAATAAGACTAAGGAGCTCGCGAAGGGTGCTGGAAAAGGCGCCAAGGCGGTGGACAAGGCCAGGAACGTTACTCAAAAGCACATTGAACTGCTAGGCCAGCACACAGCGACCTTCGACTCTACTGGTGGCAAAGTGGCTGCTTCTGATGACCCATATGTAATCCAACGTGGTGTGATGCACCGCCTGAACAAGCAAATTCAGGAAGAGAACAACAACCGCCAAGACATGATATCGGTTCAGAACAGCTTTGCCCGGTTTGAAGCGCATATCATCCAGACCATGCAGCAAGGTATGGGCCAATTCATGCAGGTGGTCAGCAGCCAGGCCGAGCAAACGAGGGTTATGTACGGCGACATAGTTGGGACAGCTCAGCGCATCCCACCCGACTTCGAATGGAATGGCTTCATCCACCGCAACGACGGCGTTCTGATCGATCCATCCGCACCTCCACGCTCCCTGTCCAACGTCTCCTTCCCGAACCAGAACCATCGCTCCACGCAACCCCTGATCGCCGGATCCCTGGAGCGGAAGGGCAAGATCATGAAGAAGTACGACGCAAGCTACTACGTCGTGACGCCGTCGAAATTCCTGCACGAATTCAAAACCGACGACGACTTCGCCAAGGACCCGTCGCCCGAGCTGTCGCTGTACCTCCCCGACTGCATCGCGGGCGCGCTCAACGGCGACAAATTCAACGTCAAGGGCAAGGACGTCAGCAAGGGCAAGGTCGGCAACACCTTCAGCATGTCGCATGAGCTCGCCTTCAAGGCGCACACCCCGCAGTCAGCGCAGCAGTGGTGGGAGATTATCCGTCAGGCGGCCGGCCAGGTCACGAATGAGATGCCCGAGTCCAGCGTCCCCAGCTCGCCGGCTGATACGAGGAAGTCAGAGATGACTAGCCCGATTAGCCCTACGGTTACCGAGGAGAAGCAGATGGCGCCGTTGCAGACGCAGGGTTTGCTGGCTGAGAAGGAGGCTGCTGGGAGTGCGCATCCGACCAGTGCGCATCCAACCAGTGCCACGCCGGCTAGTGCGGGTGTCAATGTAAAGGATGCGGCGCCGGTGTCGGGCGTTGAGAGGAAGCCGGGAGAATACTAGTTTGTGCAAGACGGAGGATGGTGGATAGTTGGATAGAACGTGTTGAGTGCCAGAAACGTGGTGTTGAAAGCTGATTTTGCGGCTCCTTTTCCTTTCGTCTGATGATACCTTTGATATACACACGCAGCGTACGAGCAACATCTTAGTCTAATCTTTCTCCTGCTCTCCCGCATCGACGTGACCCATTATGCCCTAGTCGTTGTCGCCGTGATTACCCCTGTCCGGTATTTCCGTCCTATCATCTTGACTCCAGTCACCAAGCAGAGCACCTGAGGCCACTCAATCCCACATCTGCCGCACATTCAAATTCACCCTCTTCCCACCCATCCAGCCCCTCCACGCCTCGAAGTCCCCTCCCTCTCCGCCCCCCGCCGCCGGCCAGTCCGCCAGATACGCCGGACACGTCCCCGCCACGATCTGCGGGACGCCATGCCACGCGAACCGCGCCTCGCCGCCCATATACACCGCGCTCCCGGACGGCAGGCGCAGCGCCAGCACCGTCTTCCCAGCGCCTTCCCAGTCTCTCTCCTCGCGCTCCTCACCCTCTACCCCCGGGCACCCCTCCCCACCCCCCTCTTTTCCCTCCCTCAGCGCACCCGCATCCCCCGGCCCAACAACAAAAACCCCCTCGCACCCCAAACTCACGCTGCTCAACCCCTTCCTGCACCCCTCCGCCACGTCCCGATGCAGACTCAGCGTATCCCCCGGCGAGTACAGGTTCACGATCGCGGCCTGCGGCTCCGCGTCGGCGAAGACGGCGGTCAACAGCGCGGCGATGTCCGGGGGGAAGGGCGGCGGCGGGGAGGTGGGGTAGCGCTTTGCGGTCCAGTCGTATTGGCCGCCGAGGGTGAGCCAGCGGAGCTTGCGGGTTAGCAAGGGGGTGGGAGGGAGCGGGGTGTGGAGGGGGGGGGGGGGGGGGGGGGGGGGGGGGGGGGGGGGGGGGGGGGGGGGGGGGGGGGGGGGGGGGGGGCGAGGGGTGTTGGGAGGTTTGGGGGTTGCGTGAAGAAAGAGGTGGAGACGGGGTTTGGGGGCCTGGATGGAGAGGTGGGGTTGGAGGGGTAGGCTAGGGTGTAGTGCGTGTGGAGGTTTGTGAGGTGGAGTGGGTTGGAGAGGTCGCGGTGGAGGAGGCGGGAGAGGAGTGTGAGTTGGGTGGAGGGCGGGAGGAGGGCGGGGAGGATGTGCAGGCCTGGAGGGGGTTAGTTGAGCGTAGGAAGCTGGGATATAGGGAGGATCATGTGGGTAGGTAGTGTGGTTGTGCGTTTGATAGGTGGCATTGTAAGACGGTTGGAGAATAGAAGAGTTGACAGAGGGTGTTAAAATTGTTAAGGAAAGTCATGGAGATGAGAGATATGAAATAGATAAAGAGAGTAGTACATACCTGGCATATGAGAATGCTCATATACAAGGATTGGAGGGTCTATCAGACCACCTTGGCTGTTAGTGGGTTCTTGGATTCCTTCGAATGCTCGGAAGGCCGCAGTCAGCTCCTCAGGGTTGTATTCTTTGATAACCTTGATATGCCTTTTCTGCTCTTCCAACAGTCCTCTTTTAAAGTCTATTATATCTGGGTCTTTGTCCAGATCCCGTAATTTCATTTTTTGGTACTTCTTATAGACATTTCGAATATGGTCTGGAGGCTTCTCGTGAGGGTCGAGGTGTTGTGACGAAGCCATCTAGGGTTTCTATTTCATTGTATCTTTACAGGATGACTTCGAGACTCACGGTAGAAGACTCAGGACTCGTTAATAGAATAAATAGGATCATGATATTGATGATATTGATGAGTTGTCAAGGGTGACAATTTCGTGAAAGCCAAGATTTTCCCGATTCAGCGCGTTTCGCGAGCTCTCACAGGTCGGGAAGTGTTTACTGACACACAACAACCACCCTTCAGTCCACTCAACGAGCCAAACCCTCCCCGGATATCCACTAACAACCAGGAAACGCGACTATAAATTCCATGACCTCAATTTGCCTCTCACGGATTTCTTAATCCTACTCGTTTAACTCATTTACGGCTTTTTGTTCCGTCTTCACCTCCTTGGAGATTTGTCTGACGGTCAAAGCCTTGTTGCTTACCATTGAAGAAGAATTTGAAACCGGAGATATTCTCTGCAGGAGCCATGGAGAATTACCAGAGGATGGAAAAGATTGGAGAGGGTAAGAATATGATTTTGCAAAGAGCTAGCCCTCCGTGGGCATCTAGCCCGCATTACGAGGCCTCAACACCGTTTACTAACATTTGAGTGCTCCAATAGGGACGTACGGTGTTGTGTACAAAGCTAAAGATCTCACGACCAAAGACCACCGCATTGTTGCGCTCAAGAAGATCCGTCTCGAAGCTGAAGACGAAGGCGTTCCCAGCACGGCCATTCGAGAAATCTCTCTCCTGAAAGAAATGAACGACCCAAACATCGTGCGTCTCCTCAACATTGTGCATGCCGATGGCCACAAACTGTACCTCGTATTCGAATACCTTGACCTGGACCTGAAGAAGTATATGGAGGCGCTTCCGGTAAGCCAAGGTGGTCGGGGTAAACCTCTTCCCGAAGGCTCCGGTAGCGCGCTACAAAGTCTGGGTCTGGGTGCAGATATGGTTAAGAAGTTTATGAGCCAGTTAGTTGAAGGCGTGCGGTACTGCCATGCTCATCGGGTGCTGCACCGCGATCTAAAGCCGCAGAATTTGTTGATTGACAAAGAGGGCAATTTGAAATTAGCTGATTTCGGTTTGGCGAGGGCGTTCGGTGTGCCATTGAGGACTTACACCCATGAGGTATGCATTCTTGGATATCCTTCCTCTTCATTGCATATTTTGTTAATACGTAATAGGTCGTCACACTGTGGTATCGC